CATTGACCAAGCTGACCGGCGCATGAGTAAGCCTAGAGAATGAAATATGGCGGTGGCCAAGTGATTCGTCTCACCTTAATAAACGCAGGACCAGCGGTCTCCATGCTGGACACCAAGAAGTTGTACCACCACAGCGTACCCGGCCTCTCGTTGTCGCGGTGCGGCTGGCGACGCCCAACCCATATTGCGGGAACAGCCAGGATGACAGGCACAAAAATAAGAAACAGATGGCAGAACCTGACTCCAGTGCATATAGGCTCCCACAGATACAGATCTAGGTATAATATCACCGTGTGTCTGAAGCGCGAAAAGCCTCTGTCGCCGTCGTCTACGGTCTTTTCCAACTCCTTGCGCGATGCTTCCAGCATGCGCCCCTCGGCGGTGCGATCGTTGTCTCCATTGTCCTTTTCGGAGAGCTTTACGAATGTAGCCGTTCCTAGCGCACCAGCGGCGGCGGCTCTCAGGAATATGGTCTTAGGCCCGGAGTGCTGTCGCCGTGTCGAGGGGGCCGAGAATCGGAATGGGGATCGAAAAGTCGAATGCCATCGACCGAGGCTCGCAGGGGTATTTGGAGCGATCCGAGTTACAAGAAGACTTCGTTGAACGCAAAACCGGCCAAGCACATTGCTGACTGGTGGCATCTCTTCGAGGAATCAGGTCGCTGCTAAGTAATTGGCGTTTTCATAGTGGCAGACATCCTCTGGTGCGCAGCATTGGAAGTTGTTTTTGTGTGAGGCTGCCTCACACATTCATTATTTTGTAAGAACAATGGACGAGTGCTAAACTACGGGAACTTCCATTGCTCGGTGTACCTCGGAAAGGACGGTGACGTAGATTACATTTCAGAAGCTGAGCTAAGATAAGGCTACCTTCTATCGGTCGGTAAATCCCTGGTTAAACATGTGCTAGTCTAGTACCTAAGGTGCCTACTGTCTTAGGCCTACTGTCTTAGGTACAGTGCCTACCAATCAAGCGGCGCCTAGACTAACAAGCCGTCTCCCCTCCGCCTCCTGCCAGTCCAACTTCGGGCTTTGCCACTTGTTGATTCATCAATGCGATAATTTAAAAAAAGAAAAAAGTTAGTTCGATAACTTTGCGATAGCCTCGTCATAAATCTTCAATATACACATCCGTTCTTATACATCTTATACATACCCGTTCTCCATTTACGTGGCGCTTCAAACGAGAAGCGAAGTGCATACCGAGATTGTATCCTCCCTTAAACATCTCTATAAGCTGCCTCTCTTAGACGAGGAATATATCATCCATCCATCCATCCATACATAAATCCATCCACCATGGGTTGGTTCTGGTCAGACGGTCCCGCGACGAGAGCCCAAAGTCGACCTCTATTATCCCATCACACATTCCCCATTTCCCAGGATGGTGCGGCATCGCCACCTGTAAGCCATCCACGCAACCATCTGGCTCCATTTTCTATGTGCTAATCCGCAGCAGCCAGGATGTCCTATGCACAAGCATCAGAAGTCCGCCGACACCATAACCCATCCTTCGAGCTGTCCCGTGGACCACATGTCGACGAATGACTCTAGGACAGCAGCATCAGATCCCGGATCGCAGTCTGCCTTCGCGAAGCTTAATCCCCTCAACTACATGTTCCGCGACCTATCGCAAGCACGAGCCCCGAACCAGACCTACGGTCTTCCGACATCTCGGGAGCCCTCGACTATTCCGAGGGGCGACGGCGACGGCAACTGGGTCTACCCCTCGCCACAGCAGATGTACAATGCGCTCCTGCGCAAGGGCTATACCGACACCGACGTCACTGCGGTCGAGAGCATGGTCAGCGTGCACAATTTCCTGAACGAGGGCGCCTGGGCCGAGATCATGGAGTGGGAGAAGCGCTTCGCCGGCGGCCTCTACAAGGGCTGGCGCAAGTGCAGTCGGGGCGAGCAGAACTTCGACACGACCGTTAAGAAGTATGGCTACGAGAAGGAAGTAGACGACTTGAGCCCCAGTCTGGTGAAGTTCCAGGGCCGGCCCCAGGAAATGACACCCAAGGCAGCCATGATCCAAGTGATGGGATGGCTATACCCATCAGCGTTTGCGTGAGTTAGCTTGACTTGAGCAGGTTGAATTCAGGCACATGTACTAATACAAGAGGCAGGACCGAACCGCCTTTCGACCGACACGACTGGTATGTCTCGCGCGAGACCGACGGCCAGAGGAAAGAAGTCCGCTACATCATCGATTACTACTCGGGTCCACCCGAACCCACCGGCGAGCCTGTGTTCTATCTTGACGTCCGACCAGCTTGTACCCCTACCGGTGCCATCGAGCGGGCCTTGCGATGGGGATGTGATGTCTGGTGGAGAGCTTCTGGGGGCGACACTCGAGAGCTTTCGAAGCAGACGGGATCGAAGTGAAGAGACTGGTGTTGTATTATAGATCATAAATATACTGAAAACCCTATGTGGCGAATTGGGATGACCGGCGTCAATATGGGGGAAGATACGGAGTTTTGGGACTGCCTGGGAGATGTATCAATGGATTATGTATAAAGGGGGGATTGAGTGGTTTTTTGGGTATATTTTCCCCCTTTTCGGGTGGCAGCACCCTCTGTTCAGAATGCATCACGACTCCTCGACTTTTATGAATTATACTTGATTAATGCTGTACGATATAATTCACTCTCTTGCCTACTACCCGCGTTGTTACGCTAAAGTGCAATGGGCACGATGTGTTTCCCCCCCTTATCCGACCTTTATCAACTCAACGTCGACTTCTCTTGGCCATAGCTTGCCCCCCTCTCCCCTCTCGACCAAGGTTCAATAGATCCTGTCATGGATCTTCACATCCCCTTGTATACATTGGTGGGGGGCTGACGTTCGCATCGATTCCTTGCATCCATCCTGCCTTAGGCATGTACATACCTATCCTTATGAGTAATAAGTTTGGTAGGTAGATCAATACATCATGGGATGGAATTCCCACGCAAAAGGGTTCTTGTCTCCTCAGGAGGCTGGAGTTTACCTATAAATCCTTTGCCATCAGAGTCAGCCGACTACTTGTCCGATAGTAAGGAAGTTGTTCGTTTTTAGTACAATTAGTTTTAGATTATCGGCCTAGGCACTTGTATGAACACTTGATATGGGATCCTTTAACCGGGATTGGTTTCGCTCCGAAGTAGGATGAAGGTTCTCACTTTCGTTGCTGTATCGCACTAGCAACACGAACAGGGTGCCGCATTCATTCACTTACACAGAGGTTGGGGGTGAGCTGGTTAGCTGGCTTAATTTAAGGAAATGATACTATCTTTTGAGATAACCGGACAGGCTACTGGTTAAAATGGAGATTAAAAAGAAAGAGTCGCCAGCGTGTTCATAAATGGTATAAATGTGTGAGGGGAAGGAGGTGGAGGGGGAAGCCATCATCAATTAATCCATCCTTCGAAACCTTTCCAGACTTCATGTTACATGCGTGTATATCCCGCCGCAAAACGTGTCCAATTCACTGATCGAGAAATCAATTTAACTGACAGTGGCAAGTTTTCTCCGAAAAGAAAAGATACAAGAGGAAGATGCTGCTACCACCGGGGGAAAAATACTAACCAACGGCTTACCGCTGTCTCCATACCCAACTCAACTTACATACTACCCCCCGTCTGCTAAGATCGTTAGTTTACCTACGCGTGCAGTAGGTTAGATATCTCGTCCGTCAAATGATCTCAGGCCCTTGCATGTAAGATTCTTCACCGTCTATCACCTCGCTTCGCATCTCCTAGCCCAATCATTCTTCCTCGTAGTCCAGGGTAGGCCGATTCGGAAGAGCTGGTGGGTTAGGGTTGGATGGACGATTTGAGAGAGAGATAATGCGTGTGTTGGTGAATAGCAGAGGTTGGTTAGTTTCCTCTTGGTCCTTTGTTCGCTTCCACCGCCTTTCTCTGTTGTCGTTTTCCTCTACATTTACATTTTCTCTTTCTATATTTTTATCTTCTTCTCGTCATCTCTTCTATTCATCTTAAGACGTCGTGCCATTTCGGCCTGATGTGTTATGGGGAACCAGTTGGCCGGTGTCGTTCTCTAGTATCTTGTCCTACCCCACCAACGACTTATACATATATGATATACACCTCCCTCTTACACGATATTCCAGCTACTTCAAGCTGTGACCACAAAGTTCGAGACGGGAGACTTGAAGGAATGAACTGAAATCGATCTTCGTCGTATATTACTTTGCACCAAAAGAAAAAGAGAAAGGAGGAAAATTATCGACATACAATCCCGGCGTTACCAACTTGCACATCCCCCCTCATCCCCCCCAGCCGCCGCGCACATACCTCACCGCCACTATTATTATCGCAACTCTTGGCAACAATGGAGAACCCTCACTACCGGCTCGGCGGATATGAGGTGACGCTCGTCGACGGGCTCTGGATAGGCCTCGTAGCCCTAGAAGCTGTCATGATCATGGGCGCATTAGGCCGGAGGGCGTATAAAGCTATTGGGAACTCGAGACTGAGAACCGAGGCCAACATTCAATACTAAGATCGAAGGGTAAGTTCACATTGAACAAAATGTTGCCTAAGACCGTGACTGAGCGACTAAGGTTTCTGAACAACAGTTGAAAAATTATCAGGTAGTAAAAGTCGGAGTAAAGGGAATGGGAACAGGTCTACTACTACGTTTGGCCGCTGCACCTGCATTTCGTTGGTAAGGGCACGAGGAACGAATATCAATGAGGCGAAATCGGTAATTGACGGGGACGTCCTTGTTTGTATTTAAGATACCTTGAGCTCGTGATGTGTGAAAACATCACTTCAGCGGCCTATTTGTGGTCTACATGGGTTATGCCACAGGATGAAGAAAAAAAAAAAAGTAGAAATATCATATGTCTCGTAGAGTAAAAAGCTCGACAAAAGACAAAAGACAAAGGACAAAAGACAGGCAAATGGGGATAGCATAAAAAGATATTGATTACCATATGCAATGCGGAACATAAAATTATTGGGTTAAGAAGAAGACAAAAAGTTGATTTGTTGGACATTCTGGGAATTGAACCCAGGACCCTTTGCAAGCACTGTTAGAAGATGCGAAGCAAATATCATACCCCTAGACCAAATGCCCGAACAGATGCTGATCTGTGCTTTTAAGCACCGCTATGTACCCTTGAAACTCTCCCATGTTGCAATAGGTTAGGTACGTAAGTTGATTTCCGTTTAGCCAGGATTAGCCGCCGGTGAAGTACTTACACAAGTCATAGGAAATCCGACGCTGAGCATGCATTTAAATAGAAATATGCATATAAAATGTGGCTTCCAATGCTCTATGCAGGTAGGTACGGAGAGACCTGGGGGGAGGGGGCTTGAGGGAATTCCTTTCAGAAAACCTCGCACGCGGTACGGTAAGTAACCAAAATCGATAATACTGCGCGCACCACTAGATATACCAGTAACAATTTATGCTCTCGCGCAGAAGAGCCTTTCTTGTGACCATCATTATGAGATCTGCAGACTCATCGACCGGAATTTGGCGACCGGTTGAGAATGATGTAGTGAATCAACAGTCCCATACCTAGGTACCTAGGTAGTTCTGATAGGGACCTGTGATGGAGTGGAAAGTCATGTCGCGGGGAATGCACACGGCTAGTACATAATGTCGGAGGCTATCGAGAGGACGAGAGGGGTTTGATTTAGGAGATACCACGAGACAGACACTCCGAGCCGTTTCCTAGTAATCCATTTCGACGATGCACCGATATTAACGATAATGTCCCTCGTGCTTTAGATGCATACCTGAAGCACGGCAACGGGTGTTCCTCTAAGACAGCGGTACTGTATCATAGGTAATTACTACACCTGCATTCCGCAACCGAGAAGTTATAGTCATGCGCTTCGAATACAGATAGTAATAGAAAGTCCTAATCGGTCATCTTTTTACGAGGGACTAGACTTGATGTTATATTAGACAAGCCGGACTCACCATCAGATTACTGGCTAGCAAGGTGTAGGACACCTAGGGGATTTATCACGATGAAGAGTCAGGTAGGAATCCTGTGGTACTGTACGGAGTATAGTGAAGTTGTATAAGCCAATCTAAGCACACAGCTTCTCCTGAATGCCTGTCTCGGTTGGTAGTTATGCCCGTCCACCGAGTGATTACCACGACCGGGACTTTCATAGTTCATCATGGCTATTGCCAGCCTTTCCATTAGCCTCCGCAGACTCGCTCTCCGATCCGTCATGTGGTTTGCGAGCGGTATTCCTATCTCAAGTTAGCCTCGGCGCTTTTCCCACCCGCCATCCTCGGTAATCAAAGGAAGTAGAAGAAGACCTTACAAGAACAGCTCGCCATAGCCCGTCTCAGGCCCCCGCTGGGTATCGACCTGGGCCGCACGATCGTACTCATACCAGAAACCGAACGTCTTGCCCTCGAGCACCGGCGCGGGCCTCTCGGCGACCAGCCTCTGCAGCCTCTCGGCGCTCACAAGGAACCGATCGACCGCGTCGTCGTACTTCGAGAAGGTCAGCTTGCCGTCCCGCTTCCGGAATTCGCCGTCCACGACGACGTGCGCGATGTCCCCGACGTTCGCGTGCAGGACGACGGCGGCGACGGGATCGCTCCAGCCGAGCATCCCGGGCGAGCGCCCGTCGAAGACGACCAGGTCCGCCTTGGCGCCGACCCGGATCGCGCCGAGGTCGGGGCGGCGGAGCGCGAGCGCGCCCTGCCGCGTCGCCATGAGGAAGGCCTGGTTCGCCGACATGGGGTTGTTGGCGGGGATGCGCCAGCGCGATATCACCTCGTCGTAGAGCCGCGAGCGCGTGCGCTGCAGCCAGATGCGCGCCTGCGTGATCATGTCCGACGAGAACGTGAAGTGCGTGTCCACGCCGAGGGCCGCCTGGTCCTGGATCAGGTGCGCCGCGAAGTGCGAGTGCCCGTAGTGCATCTCGGACTCGGGCGTGATGGATATGAACTGGTTGGTGGCCCGGAGCAGTGCGGCCGTTCCGGGGTCAACCGCGGTGCCGTGCGAGAAAACCACCGCGGTGCTGGTGTTGAGGATGTCCCAGGACTGGAGGAGCTCCGGAGAGTTGTTGGCTGCGGCGATCTGAGGTTAGCAAATACGTAGATTAAAACTAGGAACGAATGCACCGGTGGAGGGTTATCATGGGGGTTTCCATTAATCATTAAGGTACACACGCCTAGAAAACCGCAAGTTTGTTGATCCAGGCAAGATCGTGGCCTCGGGAACTGGAACGTCTTTACTCGATATTGTTGACGAAAAACTTACAGGGCCAAATACCCCCCAGCCAGTGCGTGGTGAGGACTGGTATGTTCAACTCCCTGGGACTCCTGTCAGTATCTTGGTAACAAATCGGGAGGCGTACTACGTTCACACGCACCTGATAAAATCAACCACTTCTTTAGTATCGGAAGACGCCTTAGACTCCCAGTTGTCGTAAGCAGCTGAGATTGTAGTTAGAGCATCACCTTTAGGTCTGGCTGCTATCCAGTCCTTGACGTCAGCAACCTGGTCAGGAACAGGATATTCCTCATACTCTGCGAACGAGGGGCTCCAATAGACCCTAGCGCCGCTGTCTACTGATGCATCGAGACCGGCCTTGGAGCGATCCTTAGACCATATATGATGTGCGTGGTCGAGAGTAGTAGTGACGCCGGCGTTGAGAGCCTCGAGTAGGCCCATGAGTTGCGAGATGTACACATCCTCGGCAGTGTATATCGACCCTGCCGCTTCTCCTCTATACCGCATGAGGTAATCTGTTAAGGTCGTGTTAGAGGCCAACGTTCTCATCGCTGTCTGCCAGCCATGGCGGTGGGTGTCGATAAATCCCGGCGAAATTATCTTGTGTTTGCAATCAACAACCTCAGTATCTTCCGGGACATCTGGGACTTCCGAGGATTCGTAGAGCCCGGCAATCCTGTCGTCGGTTACCAGAAGCGCGCCATTGCGGATCACATTCAGGGCCTCTACATCCTCGTCAAATGCGATAATGGTTGCGCCAGAGAAGAGGATAGAGGATGAAAAGACAGGGCAGAAACCGCTCGCAAGAACAAGGATGTTTGACAGATGCATGGTGACCTAGAGCTCAACAGTCTTAGAGCTTGACAAAGGTAGCAAGTATAACTTATCGATCATAAAATGGACTGAATCCGCTTGGTTGAGTATGTTGAATCTTACCGATGATATCGAAACCGACTGTGGGATCCGTCTGATTTGACCAAATATATATTGATATATCACCTAGGATAGGTACCTACCTAGGTAGGTATATATATGAAGGCCTCTTGTAGATAGATTAGAAATTCACTGGAGATAGGCTGAATCCCTCGTACCACCTATACGTCTACCCGTCTCCAATTGCGACTTATCGAGCACCTATCGACTTGGTCAGCACGCCTACTAGAGCGACCGCGCCGCTACTCCGCACCGTACTATTGTCTCCTATAGGCCACCAGAGTAGATACATAAGCACAGCTGGACTCGGTGTTGCTAGTGCTTATCCGAGAACGCGGGTGCGAAACAATGCCCCCCTTGACCATGATATTATTTGTGGCTTATGGATTTTATGCGGTAACGCCTTTTTGAATACTATGGTCTTTGCGTGTAGATGTGGCGATACATTCGTTTTTTGTTGTGGATTGAGTAGGTACTTAATCATCATAACGCGCTTCTTAGTATGAGAATTGGAAGGGAGAATAATTTTCTTTCTACCGATGTTTTAATTGGGAAACACGCCGCCATAACGAGCAAACGTGGTTGCCCATAATAGCCGAGTGTGAGTGTGATAATAGTATGTAGATGGTCTATGGCGCGGGTTGTTCGAACGAAAGGCGGCCGATTAATATCCAGCCTGAATCGAGGTGACTAGCTAGCCTGCTTAAGGACCGTTATCTAGGAACTTGACAGCTCGAGGGGGATTACGTACAGAAGATACAGGGACAATCATTTAGAATCACTCAAGGTATCTGGAGCGACGGTGTTCATTCTCGATCTTCTTGCATGGCATCCTTCGTCCATGCAGTATGGGCAACACTTGAAGAAATGGGAAAGCAGAGAATCATGTTTCATCATCTGATTGTGACTGTGAATGTGAATCAGATTGTTCAGATATGAACCTGGAAACTATCTACCTATTATAAGGTCATTGTCTCGTGTCCTTTCCATGAGAAAAACGAGGGAACTCCTCTCGAAACTCGTTGAGGACCCTTGAGACAGAAAATAGGAAAAGGCGATCTTGATGAGTATGGTCGGGTCTTCATGACCACAGATTGACCTCTCGAAACGAAAGCATAATAGCAAATAGCTCTTTCAAAGCCGGAAAGGGTATGGAAACTCCTCCAACAACAAGAATGGCACTGTATACCAATGTGAAGGGCTATGAGTGGCGAGTCGAGGATGACAGAGAGGCAGAATAAGAGAGAACTTAATCCCGTGTCTGCGCTTAGCTAACCTACTTCTCAGTTATCCTGGTGGAAGGATGGGCCACGAGCCTTTGACTTCGTCGGAGTGCGGATTGGGTATCGACCCAGGCGTCCTCGTGTCCCACGTTGAATGCTAGCGGTCGCTGACTGCTGGGCCGAGCCCTGAGAGGATCGTCGTGAGCGTGGTCTCAGCGTACGGGGTCGACTAGGCGTCTCCGGCAACGCCCGAAGACTCATGTGGTGTCGGCTAGATCTTGAGGCTAGCGGTGTACTCGGAAGTGTACTCGGGGTTGTTTCAGGAGCCCGTGTCACAGAAGTTTGGCGTCTGTGTGCCTTTGGTGTTCGTGGTCGCGTTGGCGTCGCGGGGGGGTTCGAGATCGTGCTCCCGGTTTGAGCGCCGGTGCCTCCCGCGCCTGTGTTGACTCCAAAGGCAGCAGCAGCGGTAGCGGCGCCAGCACCCAGGTTGTTGGCGTCTTCAAGTACCTTTTCTTTGATCGGGCCGCCTAGTTTCAGAGCTTCGCCGATAAGATCTCCTTTCATCTCCTCTTGCCATTGTTGGATGGCAGGGTGGTAGTGGATTGCGAACTGTTGAAGCATCTCTATTTCAGTAGCGCTGGCAATTTTCTCCAGCGTCGATGCTCCCTCTCTTAACATGACCTTGGCTCTGATGCTGCTGAAATTGGGTT